TGCACAAAATTCAGAATGTTGACGATGGATTCGGCCGCCTGCGCGGGCACGGGTCTGGGCCTGTGTCTTGGTTCCTTGGCAATTGAACTATAGACAAGACTTGGGCAATGTTGAATGATATGAGTAGTTGTTGTTTGGGCTTTGAGCCCAGTCTTTATAATCTATTTGCTACAAGTTTATTTGCAAAGTAGTTGCTCAAATTAATATCCAAACTAAGTTGATTTTGGACTTGAGTTTTGACCTAACTCGTGAGAGGTATCTCCAGATACATTGTATCTACTTATGTTGACTCCACATCTCCACCTGAGCGGAGTGATGGCGTGTTAACACGTGAAAACGACAGTTCATGTTGACTTCGCCTTATTGTTTCAGATAGAATAATGGTGTGTAAACACATGGAAGGCTTAACTCTTGACCCTTTTTCCTACCCATTAGAACAATCTTAAGTGGTTGTGACATGTATTAATTGTTAGATGTCTGGTGACATTCCCTACCTTAGCTGGAAGTTCTATATATAGGAGATTGTAGAGCTGCAAAAACACACTTCGCGGAACTCGAAAGTCTGAAATGCTAAATTTTATAAGACGTAGTCGTTGTATTTTTGAGGACGAGATACCTGAACCCATCAGCACATTACAAGGTTTATTGGTCTTGCGGAAAGAACAACTCTCGTCTCGGTTAATTCTCTTTCCACATCATCGTACTTGTTTTATGCTTTTTAATTCAAATTGTAAGAACTAGAACATACTATTCAATTAGTAGGTTTTCCGTTGTAACTCGAAACACTCAATTTGCAAAATATACAGAAAATGTTTAATTATGATCCCTAATCTCAGTTGTTTCTTATTAAAAGCATTACGATGGTCCCTATCCCTAATAACAAGCGGCCATGAGGTCGAGATGGTCATGAAATTCCGCCAAGGCATCAAAATTGATAATGTCAGTCTGCTGGAAGCTTAATTCTACACTTCTCTTTTCATTAACTGTTAATCTGGTGGGAAATAATTTTTAAAAGAACTACCTGTGTCTGTAATAATTAACCTTCAAGGCAATCTGAGATACTTCAAGTTCAAATGCAAGCACCCAAGCACAACAATCTCAAATGGAACACTCTAATCCAACTGGGAAGTTCACAAAAGCTTTCATTTACAAATATGTAATGAGTTCATGACGTTATAGATAGGTAACTTGTTCGCATACGACTCGTTATCCCTGAAAAAAAGTTTTATGGAATCAAACAAATCTGTTGTGGTGTCATAAGTATAGAGAGGCTTTCGTTATGTAGCCGATTTCTTTGTCTGGGATGATGTGGACATTATGCGTAACCGACTTGCTATTTCGGTAAAAGAAGGCTGCAAAACAGAATTAGGAGCCCAACACTGTTCCATTAATGCCCTCCACTCGGCATCACAATAGCTTGGAATTGTTGGCCTCAACGTGTTGTTCACGATGCCTCCTGGATCGATGCCAAGTGTACGATCAAATTTAAGAATGTATGCATATTGTATAATACTCTGATCAATAAACAGAAATTTGAAATCTAATAGTCCAAAAAGATTTTGCCAAAGGTATTTCAATTTTGATATAGGCCAACAAGAAATGAAACAAACGACAAATTAATTATCTTCTTAGTGAGAAAAGTATTAGCAAGTTTTGACGAATGGGGCTCGAATTACAAACCTATGATTGCACCGTAATGCATGTTGGCGTAAGGCTCCTCCCCAGTGAGAATCTCACATAAGACAATACCAAATGAAAAGACATCGACCTAATGGATGAACAATTCAGCACAGATATAACATGATAGAATCGAAAATATATTGAATATTGAAGATTGTTCGTTTATAGGTTCATGAGTAATGAGAATTAGTGGTGAAGATTTAAAGAATCTAGAATGAATGAACAATGATTAATAATTTATAAATTTCTATCAATTTATCCGAAAAATATGCAAGCATACATACAGTCAAATTTAACCTTCTCGGAAACTTTATTGCTACTTCCATTCAGAAGCTCCGGGGCCATCCATGGAAGAGTTCCTCGAACTGACTAGGAAGTAAAGTTTCCACCGAGACACTAGTGACTTACCTTGCATATAGGTCTTGAAGGATTTTTCATGTTAACCAGCAAATTGTCGGATTTCAGATCAAAGTGTACTATGTTCTTTGAGTGCAAATATTCCATACCAAAAGCTGCATAGATGGCAATTATGAGCCTCTTCCGACGATCAAGATGCCTACAAAATTTGCATTGGAACAAAGAAAAGCAAAAATAAATGTTACTGGGGAAGGGGAAATAGTATAAAAGACAAGGATAAGCTATAACTGAAGGGTAGCGTGCTTGGATACAAATATATCTGCTCAAAACGAGTTTTTTTGGTTAACGAAGGTTAATTTTGAAAAAAATAGAATGGTTAGTTGTTAATGACATTTTGAGTTTATATTAAAATAATAAGTAAAATAAAATAATTAAAGTTGATTTGATGTAAAAATAGCAGAGAGAGATGGCGTGAAGTGGTGGTTAGTTAAAATTATGTGAGTGGATGAATAGTGAATTAAAGTGTGCAAAAATGATTGATTGTTATTATTTAATTATATTGATAATATTAAGGATAGTAGAGTTGATTTAAAGTTGAGTTAGATTTTGAATATGGATTGAATTATTTTATAAACAAACACACCCTAAATATCCACAAGGATATGTTTCTTGTATAGTTAGGAATACTAGTTCAAGCCTAAAAGGATTAATTTCTCTAATAAGCACACATTTTGAGTGAAGGATTATAAAACAAAAACAGAGGATAGCATTTCCAAGCCAGTATTCATAGATCTTTCTACTGAATGGCATTACGAAGTAAAACCAAACAGATGTATGAGTCATCAACCATGTATTCTGTGACAGTAGCCAATGTATTCCCAGGGCCATCGTGTACCACACCATAAAAAGCAACCACATTTGGGTGGTGAAGCTTGGAGAGAATTTCAGCCTCCCTCCAAAATTCCATAGTCTGGAAATGTTAAAAGTCAGAATGACCTTAAAAAATCCATATGTAAGCAAGGATCGAGGCATAAATGATAATAACAAATTAACAATATCAATAGAATTATGCATGTTCACTTTTTCATGAATCTTCAAATACTAGATGACATTTCATAAGCATACATAAGTAAAATATAAACAAAAAGTACATAACGTGCAGGTTTTGTATGGTGAAAAACAGTAGCAGACAACACAATAAATAATTACAAATTACCTGTCTCTCTTGTTCCGACTGACGGCCAGTGAAGCAACTCTTCGTTATTCGTTTGATTGCTACATTTGAGCCCTCCATTTTCCATGATATACAGTCCCAAATGCGCCCGATCCAAGCTCCCTCAGTTCCTCAAGATCAGCATTCTTTATTATCTGGAAATGCCACCACAGTTGTAGAAAATACACGATTTAATGACTGATTTAATTGTTAAATGTTAAGTTGCAACTTACAACCAAGTTAATGATGCCAACTCATTTTTACAGATCAATGACGTTAGAACTCATGCTTAATTAAATCACTTAACCAGTTACATCGTATAACTATGTTTAAATAGTAATAGATCAAAGCATCCCAATCCCGTAACCTACAATCATCCAATTTTCTCTTCTTCTTTTTTTTCACACTGTACATATTTCACACTGATAACCAGATCCTTAGTCCGTGGCCACATTTTCAATCAGCATCAGCAATGATCAACAACTCAGAAAGACAAAATCCAATAGCCTCAACAAAATATTTTACTATCAGGATTCGAAAATCAAAAATGCTGACAGTCGATGTTCTATAAACAGACCAAACCTGTTCAAATACCTTCAGGAAACCGAGTTGGTAAGGTGTCACCAACACCAGAGACCTCTATCAGAAATTATCAGAAACTGTCAAACCAAAACAGATGCAAAGTTGGAGCTAAATTGGACTCAAAACCGAATGACCAAATTACAGGAGGATAGAAATTACTGAGATTAGTCCTGCAATGGACAAGTCTGATTGATAAATTCCATACAACTCCCTCTCTCAAAAAAACGGACAACAACCATGACAAAACATTGAGTTACTGCAAGCTTCAAAGATCCAATGAAAAGTATTGGACTCAAAACCTAATGACCAAAGTAAGAAAAGAGAGAAATCACCAATCAGTCCTAATAAGAAAAAACAAGTCAACCTCTAACAACATTATCCATCTCTCATCCTTTTACTTTCATTTTCCCCCTTTTACGGAACAACACACTTCTCTTCCATTTCTTCAATTTCATCCATTTCAGTTACTTTTCCCCCTTTATCAGGGAACATCAGAGATTGCAGTAATGGACTCCAGCAATTGCACAAATCAGTCTCTTGGAATGCGCGAAACTCCTTCTCCCGAGGGCTATACACCACATACTTCACGACAGCACCCACTTTAAATTTCAGCAATAAATCAACATCATTCTTCCCGACGAAACACACGGGACTGAACATCTCTACAGGCCCAAGTTTCCCAATGTTCTCCACCACCATCAGCTCACTCCAACAAACCCCCTGCATACCACCCTTTTCCTTCATCCAAATGCGCAGACTATCTCCATCCACACAGAACAAACACAAACAACCCTCCAAAGAAACTAGGTCAACCTCGCAGTCCTCCTTCACGTGCTCCGGCCATGGTACAATACACAGACATCCCTCATCATCCCTCGGATCAAAGCAAACAATTTTACAATCCTTAACCTCATCAAAGTAAACAATTTTACCATCCTTAGCCTCAGCTCTCCTGTGCACGACCCAAAACACAGCACCATCCGCACACGTCCCCTTCCAAAAGCTATACCCACGCAAATCAGGTGGGATCCCTCTGGTCTCCGACCAAGACCGGCTCCCGAACGAGTAGACCGCATAGCGGTCGTCATCGTCAGAGATAACCAACGCCTTGAGGCCGCTCATGGTGACCTGATCGTAACAGAGACCGTAACAGATTTCCGAACCCATGGCGTCAAACTCGCTCGGTACGTCGAGCAGCATCTCCTCTCGAGTGGTCGGGTTCCACAAGATCAAGACCGAAGCGCAATGGCTGGCCATGAGGAGCAAGCCGTCGCAGTCGAACACGACGTAGGCGCAGCACTGGCTGCCGGGACATCCGAGATCCCAGTCCGCCGCGAGTTGGAATCCCTGGTCCGCCGCCTGGAAGAGGTGGAACCGTGGGAAGGTGGCGCTGGCGCCTTCCACGTATTTTTCCTGGCGGTAGAAGAGCTTCTGCAGCTTGGATCGGCGGAGTTGCAGTCGGAGGAAGTCGGAATCGGAGGAGATGGTGGCTTTCAACCACTTCGACACGGCTTTCAATCTGAGGAGCGACTTGACGGGTAATCTGCCGAGGATATCTCGGATGACCTCGTCGGGGAGGTTTTGCAGCATGGCTGATAATCTCTGGTGTATCCGCTAGCGGCTAGGGTTTCGTTTTCGGGGATTTTAGCATTTTTGCAGATACCATTTTTTATACATAGCAGTTTCGTTTTTGGGGATTTGGGCATATTTTAGATGTTAGTTTATTTTGGACATAGCATTTTTATGTTTACTAGTAGTACAGTACCCCGTGTATATATTATCTATTTGCTTTTTAGAAAGCATTTTCGTATTTAAAATATCTCATGGCATTAAAAATATTACAACAACAACATACCTAGTATATTCTCAACAGGTTGGGGTCTGGGGTCAGTTGTACGCAGACATTACATTTGTAATTATACAAGGAGGCTGCTTCCGTAGCGATCCAATGTGCATTGCGTCGTTTGATATATTTTTTTTTAGAAACTTCACTAATAGAAGAAGCACTAAAATTTAATTGAGTCATTTTGATCTAGTCCATTATTAGCACTATGTCAGAAGAATTGTCAACAATGATTCTTCTAGCTCCATTTGCAATGGACATATGGCATTAAAAATATTATGAAAATAAAATTTACGTTTCATTTCTTAAATATGAATCCTAAAGAAATATTATTTTTTTAATAGATTTGGAGATCTTATGCAAAAAATGAAATGAATCCTAAAGAAATCTCATTTTTTAATAGATGTGAAGATTTGATGCAAAAAAAATGTATCAATTATTAATGGAAACAAATTCAAATACAAATTAATTTAAAAATTGTTTGTGTCAGTCTGCGCTTAATTCTACACTAGTAGAGAGCCCGTGCGATGCACGGGTGCACAATTTTAAGGCTATTATCCAGGTTTATAATTATATACATGAATAAAAAAAATGTATGGGATATATATAGTACGTGACCCGTGCAAAACACGAGATATATTTATTTGGAGAATATTATATTATAAGATGCAATATTCAATAAATGTTTATAATACGCAAGAAAATTGTACAATGTTCAATAAAAGTTTTATAATATTCAAGTGGAGTCTTAGAGCATGCTTGGATACAAAATTTCTCGAAAAAATCCAAACATTTTTAACTCAACCATTTTTTTTAACTCAACTTTAACTCAACTCCACTATCATCAATATTATCAATATAATTAAATAATATCAATCAATCATTCTTACACACCACCTTACTTTAATTTACTATTCATCCACTCATATAATTTTAACTAACCATCACTTCAAATCTTCTCTCTCCTACTTTACATCAAATCAACTTTAATCATTTTATTTTAAATATTATTCTAATATACCCACTAACAACTAATCATACCAACTTTTTCAAAATTAATCAAACCTTATATCCAAACAAAAAAAAACCAAACAAAACAAAAAATTTTTATATCCAATCATCCTCTTAAAGTCTCTTGTACATTAAGACTACTGACAAAATAATATTTTAATCAATGAGTTTCCTTTTTTTGTAGCCAAATTGTGAATGTGATTTGAGGAGTACAACAAATCGATATATAGCTGACTTACTTTTTTCATTGTAGTTTTTTTTCTTTTTTTTATAATGAATTTAAAAATATTCTAAAATATAGCAAAAATTAATTTTTTTATCACAATTAGGAATTTTATTAAATATAAACTCTCAATCTATGGTGTTAATCAACGTTTAAGTCTAAAAAATTAGGAATTTTTACCTCTTTTAATCAACGTTTAAGTCTAAAAAACAATAGAATTATTATAAGTTTTTTTTTCTACATCTTCTAAAACATTAAATATGAGTATGTTAGGGCTAGCTTGTAAAATAATTAATATATTATCTCACTATAATATTTATACTAATAAAAATTTAATTTTAGCATATAAATTTATCCCTTGATATAAGAGAAAGTAACAGTTTTACTTATTGTTGTTCACCATATAATATTTAATTATTATTTTATTATATAATAAAAAAGAAATATTGTTAAATAGTGTAGTACAATTGTTATAAAATTTTATGATTTTTTTTAACAATATGGATTTAATATTTTTTAATGATTTGATAATATAAATAAATCTATACTTAACTTTGACAAATAAAACAATTAAATACTTTAGTAAGTATTTACTGTATATACTAAATAGGAATATATTTGGCATAATCAAATAAGTCAAAGTGTACATTTTTATTGGGTATTTGATTTTTTTATTATTAAAATCTTTTTATTATACTTACCTTTTTAAAATAAAACAAATAAATAAATCAATTAAATAAATAAAATATTATAATATCAAAATAATAATGGCATTTAATGCAGTTGACTTTTCTGGATAGTAGATGTAGTAAATAAAATCTCCTTTTATATAAGTATAGATTGTATAATACGCAAATAGTAATGCAATAAATGTTGTTAACTTTTTCTTTATACTAAATCTGACAAATGGTCTACCTTTTAATATAACTATATAAGTATAGACTTCTCTTTTCATTAACTGTTAATCTACTGGGAAATAATTTTTTAAAAAGGACTACTTGTGTCTGTAGTAACAAGTAATTAACCCTCAAGGCAATCTGACACTTTAAATTCAAATGCAAGCACCCCAGCACAACACAACAATCTCAAAATGGCACACTCTAATCCAACTGGGAAGTTCACAAAAGCTTTAATTTACAAATATGTAATGACTTCATGACATTATATAGGTAATTTGCTCGCTTACGACACGTTATCCCTGAAAAAAAGTTTATGGAATCAAACAAATCTGTTGTGGTGTCGTAAGTATAGAGGCTTTCGTTATGTAGCCGATTTCTTCGTCTGTGCTGATGCGGACATTATGCGTAACCGACTTGCTATTTCGGTAAAAGAGGGCCGTAAAGCAGGATTTGGAGCCCAACACTGTTCCATTAATGCCCTCCACTCGGCATCACAGTAGCTTGGAATTGTTGGCCTCAACGTGTTGTTCACGATGCCTCCTGGATCGATGCCAAGTGTACGATCAAATTTAAGAATGTATTTCATAATAATTAAACATTTTGTTTAAATATCATTAGACAGAAATTTGAAATCTAAATTTCCAAAAAAATTTAGCCCAAGATTTGATAATAGGCCAACAAGAAACGAACCTCCAACAAATAAATTATCTTCTTAGTGAGAAAAGTATAGCAAGTTTTGACGAAAGGGGCTCAAGTTACAAACCTATGATTGCACCGTAATGCATGTTGGCGTAAGGCTCCTCCCCAGTGAGAATCTCCCATAAGACAATACCAAATGAAAAGACATCGACCTGTTGGATGAACAATTCAGAACAGATATACATGATAGAATAGAAAAATATATTGAATGTTGAAGATTGAACACTGATTAATAATTTATAAATTTCGAGTGAATTCGATTTATCTATTGAATGTTGAAGATAGAATCAGTGGGGAAGATTTAAAGAATCTCGAATGATTGAACAATGAGTAATAATTTATAAATTTTCTATGAATTCGATTTATCTAAAAATATGCAAGCATACATACAGTCAAATCTCACCTTCTCAGAAACTTTATTGCTACTTCCATTCAGAAGCTCCGGGGCCATCCATGGAAGAGTTCCTCGAACTCCCCCCGAAACCAAGGTGTTACGCTTTATTTTCGACAAACCAAAATCCCCAACCTGACAAATTTAAGGAATTCAATCAGTTATTATATCATGACACTAAAATACTTCATTTTCTAAGTTTATCACAATCATTCAACTGACATAGGAAGTAAAGTTTCCACCGAGACTATAGTGACTTACCTTGCATATAGGCCTTGAAGGATCTTTCATGTTAACCAGCAAATTGTCGCATTTCAGATCAAAGTGTACTATGTTCTTCGAGTGCAAATATTCCATACCAAAAGCTGCATCCATGGCAATTATGAGTCTCTTCCGACGATCAAGATGCCTGCAAATTTGCATTAACAAACAAAAGCAGAAAAAAAAAAATGTTATTGGGGAAGGAGAAATAGCATAAAATAAAAGACAAGGAGAAGCTACAACTAAAGGGTAAAAGGATTAACCTTTTTTTCTCTAATAAGCACCCATTTTGGGTGAAGGATTATAAAACAAAAACAGAAGATAGCATTTCCAAGCCAGTTTTCATAGATGTTTCTACAGAATGGCATTACATTACGAAGTAAAACCAAACAGATGCATGATTCATACCTGTCCTTCCGAAGCAAAACGTGTCTTAAAGAGCCATCAACCATGTATTCTGTGACAGTAGCCAATGTATTCCCAGGGCCATCGTGTACCACACCATAAAAAGCAACCACATTTGGGTGGTGAAGCTTGGAGAGAATTTCAGCCTCCCTCCAAAATTCCATAGTCTGTAAATGTTTAAGTCAGAATGACGTTAAAAGCCATATATAAGCAAGGATCGAGGCATAATTGATAATTACAAATTAACAATATCCATAGAATTTATGCAAGTTCACTTTCGTGAATCTTCAAATATTAGATGACATTTTAAAAGCATGCAAAAGTAAAGTATAAACAGAAAGTACATAACGTGTAGGTTTTGTATGGTGAAAAACAGTAGCAGACTACACAATAAATAATTACAAATTACCTGTCTCTCTTGTTCCGACTGACGGCCAGTGAAGCAACTCTTCTTTATCCGTTTGATTGCTACATCTGAACCCCTCCATTTCCCATGATATACAGTCCCAAATGTGCCCGATCCAAGCTCCCTCAGTTCCTCAAGATCTGCATTCTTTATTATCTGGAAATGCCACCACACAGTTGTTTAAAATACACAATTTAATGTCTGATTTCATTGTTAAATGTGAAGTTGCCAACTTACAACCAAGTTAATGATGCCAACTCATTTTTAGTTTTTTACAGATCAAAGACGTAAGAACTCATGCTCAATTAAATCACTGAACCAGTTTACAACATATAACTATGCTTAAATTGTAATAGAGCAACTCATCCCAAACCAGTAACTTACACTCATCCATTTTTTTTTTAGTGTTTTGTAAAATAAGTGGCACTGAATTAGTTAGTTCTGTGCCAACAAAAGCTAGCATGAACTCCAAAGTTACATACTCATTGGTACATACCTGCAGTGAGGTGAGATCAATATCCACCAAAGACGGATCTAGAGATGGCAAGCCAACATTTCCAAATCCATCCTAGAATACAGGAGACAACAAGAGATTCATTAAAGACATGATCAAATAAATGATGCCCATCTCCAGAATTCAGAAAAAAACCACATACCTCAAATTCCGAGTCACGATTTCTCATATTGTCCATCAAATCATCATAATGCACGGCTTCACTGACTTTCACCAGTGATGACGCGTCATAATCAGGATGAACAACTGTAGAGACAGCTCCACCACTGGCAAGTACTTCTTTCTGATTATTTTCTCCAAATTTCTCGTGAACTCCCCTGTGACCAGGAAGAACTCCATCTCTCGCCCGGGGTACAAAGTCATATGCTAAAGGTGCCTCTTCCTCAACTTTTGTAAGGACAGATGGAAAAACAACTTGGTCTTGATCAATAAGAGAAACATCCCTTCTCGTAAATTCATCCCCCGCCAGCCTCTGGAAGAAGGACCAATGTTTCGGGTCGTGATTCTCTATGTTAACACTCAAACCGGGCCCGTCTTTCGGTAGAGGACCAAAATCAGACGAACTATCAGAAAGAACGGCCTTTGTGAAAATATCAGATAGAAGATCACGTGGGAACCGATCATTGATATCAATAAGAATATCTCCTTGCTTGGTCACAGGAACACCAACAACCGGTTCTTCCTGATTTCCAGTCCAAGTTGATGGTTGAGCTTCCTTATTAATGGCCTGAGTGTTAACCCCATCAACCCACTGAATAGTAGAATCTTCAGAGTGTTTCACTGTATCCTCAAGGCCCACAGCCGGTAGCTTCAATCCAGGCTCTGTCTCTGCCTTGAGAAAATGATTGGTTCGTATGGAATCTTTAACTTCAATTGGGTCCATCTGTTTCAGCTTCTGATTTCTACTAATCCCATTAACAACAGTTTTTTCCAATTCTTGAGGGACAGCCCCTTCTGTTGAGTTTGGCTCTTCAGTAGGAATATTCAAATTCACCTTCTGCAGTTTTTCAAACAAATTCTGCTGAGAATCATCATTATTTGATTGATTAACCAGAAATTGAGAATTGTGTGAATCATCCGACTTCGATATTCTGTTGAGAGACTCTCCCTGCTCCCGGGGAATCCACACAGAACGGAAGACCCTCTGTGGAGGAAGTGAAGACTCGAAGTAGCTCAAATCAGTAGTAGGATCAGACTCTGAATTGGTTCGTTCAGGAAAAGGGGCATTATTACCTGAGGGAAGATACTCATTGCCACCGGATAATGGAGGAACAGTATCGAGAGGCTTAGAGAGGAGTGAAGGTTCCTCGGGCATCCCCTTGCCCTTTGATTCCTTTGATGATAACTCTCTCACCAGTTTAGGGACCGTGGGCAATGACTCCTCAACAGGTAGATTAGCTGGGGCACTATCACTGTGCGTCAGTGAAGGAACAAATTCCTCGTTAGCAAAGATTAGCTGTTTTTCGCTCTCCGACTTAATCAAGCCATCGGCCTTCGGTCTAGCGTCTTTTTCTTGCACGTCCTTGCCGAGTATTCCCGAGCTGTTAAGAGGCATCCCTTCAAGACCGTTTTGTTCAGGAATAGGCACATAAGAAGATTGAGGCAGACTCGTTTCAGCAGGCACATAATATGGAGCGTGAAGATTGTACCCAAACTGTTGAGGATGCTGACTTTCTTGGTCGTGTGGCACGGTTTGACCCTGATAGAACCGAAAATCAGCGCCATAAATTCCAGAGGAAATTGGCGCAGTCAATGCAGAAGGTTCCATTTGTAATGGGGGGACAACAAAACCTGCCAAATTCGAGCTACTAACCCCAGCAAGCTCAGGGCCTTCAGCCCTACTCATGTCCCTACTAACAACATTCTGCGTATCTAACTCGTTTAGATTATTCCCAGAGGAGTTCTCCAGACCAGAGACCTTCCGGGACCCAAAAAAGTCAATGCCATTGACAGCCACCACATATTTCATCTCCGAATCTCCATCGCCATTGGTTAGACTGAAATTGGCATCGTCCAAATCCCCGGGAGAGAACAGAAACATCCGAAGCTTTCTAGAACCTTCTCCATCTTCAAGAACATTACACTCTTCCATCATGTTCTGTACATCCTCGTCACTCGATATGGAGACCAAGGCATCAAGATCCTCCCCAGGTAGCTGATATTTCACGGTGCATGTCTCTTCATAGATCGCGTTCGTTTTCTGCCACAGCTCTTTCCATGTAATGTCCCTGTTTATCCGGATTATCCGAGTTTCCCCGCCGACATATCTCAGTTTTCCATCACTAGGCCGAGGCAGAATCTTCCCACCAAAGCTGCATAAGATCTTAAGCTTCGGTGCTGAGCTGTCAGAAGCTCCGGACGAGGTGTACGTGAGCGGAGCACGTGAAGAGCCATTGTTATAACCAACCTTGTCTTCATTTGCAGTCGGATTCTTTTGCGTGAAATCTCTCGATTCCTTTTCCGCGGGGACAGTTGTGGAGATTTCAGAACCGCTTTCAGAGCCCATTCGGCCAATTCCCAAAATGCCCTTTAGCTCCAAGTAACCAGGAGCTTGACAGGCATCACCGGAGTTTTCTGCTGTGAGCTTCTTTGGGTTAAACCTGTCGCGCATGAATTCGAGCGCAAATTCCTCGCCGGTCTGAATGGAATAGTTGAGCACTGGTTTGACTTCTGAGAAAGAAATCTCCGGAAGCTTCAGGTTCGCGTTCACATGACTTGAAGGATCAGCCATGAGAACTTGCGGGTCGGGACCATGATCTTCGTTTCTATGTTCAGAGGACCGGAAATTGACCGGGTCTTGGTTTTTTTGTGGTTCCATGTAGAAATTGCTGATTTTCACCTCTTTTAGAAAAAAGTTCAAAGGGGACAGTTGTCGCTGCCACAATCTTTCGAGCAAATTGCAAAATCGAGAAAGTAGGAACACAATTCTTAGCACAAAGCAAAGACCTTGCTTGGAAACAAGTTCAGCGGTATTTAAGCAATACATGTAAGTAAAATCTTAGGAGCATTGTCTGGTTGAAGGCGTGGTCGAGGGGACACTTTCGACATCAATGAGTAGAACTAATCATACTGCAAATGATGAAATACCACAAGTCAAAATTCAAACACGAAACGCATTACTGTATGTTCATGTATTAAGCATTCCATTTGAAAAACATAAAAATTTTCCATTATATTTTGTTCATTTGCAAGTTGAAAACCCCTAGAAAGGGCCTATCCTAATTAAGGGACATCCAAAATGCTTGACTAAATGACCACATGAGTGAAGTATAGTCATTCCAAAAGCTCTTTTCCCCCAAGTTAATGAAAAGGTGATTATATGTTCACTACTTTGCTTGCTCTAGTTCAAATGGTAGCCGTGCTCGACAAAACTCAGAAGAGATACCGATTTTCAGGCTCTATGGAACAACATCACAACAAAATCTACAGGGATTTCAGAATTCGAATTTCTAGAATATTAGAAGCCTACAGATTCCAAGAACGTTCTTAATTAAATCAACAGGCACAGCCCTGCAAACAACCAAGATCAGTTATTCATCCAAATGGAGATCCCTTAAAGCGCTGCCCCATGCAAAAATCCACCAGTTGGTAAAACTCAATTCACAATAAGAAAAACACAAAAAAGATTATAAAATCAAATCCCTTGATCATAAAATTCACCACCAATCAAACAACCGAAACCTCCCAGAACCCTAATTTCCTGAATTGATCCGAAGATCAGTACAAGAGCCGCCGTACAATCAACCTCTGCTAATCCATGAAAAAACGGATCAAAATCAACTGAATCACATGATAAGGTTTTACCTCAAGAGACCAAATGCCAGTGTAAGGAAGCTGAGCCTTTGAGTGTTGACTAATAAGTCCGCCATTTACGCAACTCCATTTCTTGTAAGTTTGAATCGAAGTGAGGAGATTCAAATAAGTTTGTCTTTTTTTTTTTTTCCATCTATTTTAGAAACATTTTTGAGGTATAAATATACTTAATCTGAATGAACTGTAAATTCAAATGGTGGTTTTCGTCTTTTTTTAAGAAGCTCGACACTTTTCGGACGCCAGAGAATGACGGCTCACACGTCTCACACTCTCTCTACAAGCTATCACAATGTACAGAAAAATGGAAAGTTCCTAATATGACCTTTTATCTCTAATTAATTACTTTTCTGTCATTGTTATTTTATTGTTCTTTCCTCGTACAAGTTTCTAATTGATAAAGGCTGTTAATGGGTATAACATCTAAAATTGAATATCGTTTAGTTAATTATTATTTAGTAAAAAAAAAATGATTAATTATTTTTTTTTCACAAATTGCTAAAGTCTTAGAAAAAACTCAATAAGTTCACTTTCAAAATTGGCTTTGGTCAAAAAATATAAAATACTCAGTTGATCATTATATTTGATGTATAAAGCATTATGATTATATATTGAAAAAAACAATTATTGTTTTGAGAAGTGAACCACATCACCTAATTAGTAATTAATATGCCTGGTAACTTGTTATGGATGTACTTTATTTTCTTTCAAGTGAAGCGAAATGGTTGACTAGATCTTTTTTTTCCTTCATAGCTACCCTTTAATTTTATATTTAGTCTATCAAATTGATCTATACAATATTAAGTGTACATTAATTTACTAAAATCATAAGAAAAAAGTTTATTCAGGGTATATTTAATTAGGATTTCTAAAGATTTTTTAAAACTTTATAAATTCTGGTGTATTCAATTTAGATTTGTTAAAGACTTTTAAAAATCCTAGGGTATTCAATTAGGATTTTAAAAAGTCTTATAAAAGCCTGAGGTATTAATTTATTTGACATTAGGATTTGTAAAGACTTTTTAAGATTTGGTGTGATTTTTAAACAAAAAAACATTATACGAAATCCTACTTCAAATCTCACCTCCAGACTTAGAATTTCACATAATTTCTCCAAAATCTGAAAATTTTAACAAATCTTAAATCTTAAAAAGTCTCAAAATATCACTTGAAATCTCAATTGAATATACCCTGTGTTGTGAAGTTTCATCAAAGATTTGAAACACCAGCTTATAAAATCACATTTTGTTTATAAATTCGACAAGTTAATTTACTAGTTTTAATGATGAATAAAATATTACAAATTTTGTAAAAAAAATAAATTAAAATTTCACTTCATTTTCCACATTGCATCCGCACTTCGGTTTGGTAGATGAAAATTTTCTTCTAGGTCGTCACAATGCATCATGCTTGGATATCCTCGATTGTCGGTTTGGTAGATCAAAATTTTCTTCTAGGTCATCACAATGCATCATGCTTGGATATCCTCGATTGTCGATTTGGTAGATCAAAATTTTCTTCTAGGTCATCACAATGCATCATGCTTGGATATCCTCTATTATAAAAGTCATAAGCTTTCTTTATCTTCAATCTCAACTTCCATCTCTTATTTATCACCTTGCCACCGATTAACTCCTTGTGGTTCATGACAAATTTAACACATTAGAAAGAAAAAAAATATATAGTTTATAATCTTATTTTGTTAAAGATTTTAAATATAGAATTTTACTAATTAAATAAAATGCATTTTTGAATTATTTAATTAGTTAAAATAACACATGTCTATATTTAAAGGAGTATCTGTTGTCATATATGTATGAATCATGTACAAGGCAATAAGACATACATGATATTAGAATGACCCAAGCCACCTACATATAACTCTTTCATAATAAAAAAATTACATTAAGACCATTTTAAAATCCTATTTATTTTTTTAATCTAAGAGATTATTGTTCTTGTAAAGAATTGGGATTGAATAGAATTGTGATTGAATGTCTAACTCCCATATAAATCTAGGGAAATTCTTTATTAACGCAATTAAGCCTACAACATTTTTTGTGCATCTTTTCTTGAACTATAAAACCAATTTGCGATGGGCCGATGTAATATCAAATTGACATAATTGGGCCTTAAAAATAAATGTCTAACAAACTCCAAGGCTTCGTGTTCTTTCTCCTCCTCTTGGCTTTGGGTGAGTGAGTGTATAATTGTTCTTGGATTGGACATTTAACTGTATGATTATTCATGGATTTTTTTTTTCAATTATTTTTTGTTTAATTTAGACTTACAAGCATAATCAATAAAAATAGTCTACTAATCAGTATCACAATCTGCTTTTTCTGCCCACAGTGAGCACGGATTCATATGTCTCACCAATAAATTTCTAATGTGGTAGGAGAGTAGCATACCGTTCACAGTAGTATATGACTATATATGATGTTTATGAGATCTTGACAGGTGATTGGTGAATGAACTCACGGTTGGTAGATGAGCATTTTTTATCATATATCATATACTATTGGTTTTAAAAAGTTATATGTTTGTGTAAGTTATGCTCATAGTTTTGACCTTTGTACTAAAAATTGGCCTAGGTGGTTGCCGGCGCCTACACTCTAGATGCTGCCCGGCCGCCTCCGATTTGCATAAATCGACTGAAAAAATCGGCCAGCCATGCGGCTAGGCAAGTCTAGGCGTTCCTATACGGGATTGGCGTCAATTTTTATTTTTATTTTTTTTAATCTTTTAAATACTAATTACATTATTTTGTTATCATTTTTTTTATAGTATATTAATATTATTATTTGAACTTAAGTGTGTTGATTTATTATAAGTTGTAAAGTTGAGATAGTTTTATTTTGTAGGTAGTGAAAATAAATAAAAAAAATTTAAGGTATTTAATCTTGATTTCTAGGCCCCGCCTAGGTGCTAGGGGCTCGACAGCGGGCGCCTAATGACTTCTAGAACACTGGTTTTGACTTTGTACTCATAGAATCAATGGTGCTACATTTGAAAATATGCATTATGGAAACTTTGAATGGCTTTTCCTTCCTTTTGTTCTTTACTTCAAACTAGTTATGTAAAATCAATGCAATTCTAAAATTAATCCAAAAAAATATTTTAACTTGATTAATTTTCTCGATGATACGAATGTAGATGAGATTGTGGTAATGTGAGCTTATGCAATCACATGTGAAGCCGAGAGCAGGCTATTCAGAGGTCTCTGCTTCTCTTCCAAAAATTGTGCGACCATATGCAAGGAAGAAGACTTCTCAAGCGGCAAATGTCAATGGCTTAAGTGCATGTGTGCCAAAAATTGCAACATAGGTATTGGCAGTGGCAGTGGGCCTCACAAATTCGGCCCCCAATCAGTGGGCCACCAAACCAAGGCCCTTATGGCGGAGAGGTTCTGCCCAACCAAGGTTCCGCACAAATTCGATCATATTTAGTCAAGATTACAAAATTACATTATTACAATCAATATAAAGAATAATATGCAAGTTAAACTTATTTATATTTATGTCGTTTATTATTACTAATGATAAAATTTTCTTATTACCTAACTTGTAATTTTAAATATTATATATATATATACATATAACATATAAAAATTTGTTTATTTGTTTGAATTTGTGCACGTACACATGATGTAATTTATGTCATATTAAATATTTTTTGCCAATAACTCATTAAAGATTATTTCTTTGGATAAAGTCATTGAGAAATTCATTCGAGTTATCACAACAATAAATCTCAACCCTGCAAAACAAAACATGATTCATCTCCTGATCTTTAAACTTTGGAACTCTTTTTGTTTTTTTCCTTTTTCTCCTAATAATTTTAAAGCCCTTCCCTTTGCATGATTTACAACATAAAAGTCATAAACCTCTTGAAAGATTTACAACATTAATATGCATATCCCCCTTATATATTAATTGAGAACGTGTTGAGCCTACGTGACAGGCTCGCATGCTTCGGGATCCTATATGGCAAAATTACATGCTTCGTTATTAGGCTCGGATAGGTTTGGATTATCTATAAATATGTTGATTATTTATGGTAGGGGTGGGCGTGGTCCGGAACGATCTTGGATTTGACTTGTCCGCATACCCATCCCATTTTTATGATGAGATGAGGCACCGTCTCCACCCATGTAATACATGGGTGTTATACTAGTAAGGTTTTTATAAGTGGATCTCTATTAAGAGTGTCTTGATATCACTCAAAGGAATAAAAAAACAACAGTAAACCTCCAAAGTTTTAATTTACTTCATAACAGATTGACAATGTTATATATGTCAAATAAAATCAAATAAAAGAGTTTAATAGGATTTCCTATCTTTATTTATATTGATAAGATTAATCATGTGGAGTGTTCAAACAGTAGGAATAAGCCACCCGTCAGTGTTGCTTGAGGAGAATATAATTGATTTAGTTTTCCAACTTTTTGAGTATTTATACCTATTTATCCTAATTCCTTTATAAGCATGTCCNTAGGTATACATGGAGAAGCAACAATGTGTGAGGCGAAGAGCCAACTGTTTAAAGGGCTATGCCTAAAAAATGACAATTGCGCCACGATTTGCGGAAAGGAAGGTTTTTTATCCGGTAGATGTAAGGGGTTTTTCGGAAAGTGTATTTGTGCCAAACGATGCTCTGATGGGCCTCCAGCTGGCGGTGCCGGAGGAGGTGGCGGCGGTGGTGGTGGAGGTGGCGGCGGTGGTGGTTCTGATGGACCACCAGAGGCCGATAGTCCACCGGAGTAAAGTGAAATCGAACAAAATTTATCATTCAACCTATTGTAATGTAATGGTTTTTACTTTTTAGAAATGAAAATCCCAAAGGGAAATAAGAATGTTATGATTTACATTGCAAAAAATAAATTATTGGCATTCATGAAATGAAATGATTCATCCTTTTTCTAATACATAGCACCTTGTCACATTCATTTCATAGAGACAAAATAAAATTCAAAGAAAAAATGGATCCATTTTTTCTTGATTTGCAAACAAACTTCACTTTGTGGGATATCTAATGAAAATGGCATGTAAACTAAATCAAATAGACAGATCCATTTTTCTTGATTTGCAAACTTCACTTTGTGGGATATGATATCTAATGAAAATGGCATATAAACGAAATAAAATAAACAGATATTGTGAACAAAGGAAGAAAGATGTCAGAATATCAATGTATGATTTCAAAACAAGCCCCCCACAATTTTTACACAACAATTGGATAATGTTTTACCATGAACTCCCAATAGTTTTTTTCTGTTCTATTCTTTTATCAATTTTACAAGTCAATCTAAAGAGAAAATGAAGAACAAACAAGTTAACGACAAACAAGGGTAAATCAGTCATTGTTTGTAGCTCCAATCACTCATCTTGCCCTTCTGCATTACACCGTTTTCGGCCAAGTAATCGACAAATTCGTCTATCAAATAGGGCCAAGCGCCATCCGGATCATAGTTCGACAATGCAGGATCCACTGTCTGAAAATATACAGAAAAATAAAAAATATATATCCAAAATAGTCAGAGATACAAGAAAACCCTCCGATTTCAATTTTCAGAAAAATAAAAAATATATATCCAAAATAGTCAGAGATACAAGAAAACCCTCCGATTTCGTTGAAAAAGAAAATGTTTATAACAAAATAGCTTTACATTTCGATCTAATTNAATATCGTGCGTGATTAGAAGTTACAGTTACCACTTGATATTTATCTCAATTTACCGAGATTGCACACTTAATATAGGTGTATATTTGTGTTGTTTAAAAAGTATAAATCAAGGAAGGTCGCTTTAATAACCTTAGGTTGACCGGGGAAAACAAAAACATAAATAGGGATAAATATGAAAGTTTCCAAGATCGTCTATTAAATTTATTATTTACCCGAGCAAACTCCAGTAGCTGGGACCAGGTATCACGAGAAATCGCTTTGTTATGCCGTGCCTGAATCATCAAAAGGCAAAGTAGAAACATGTGTCACTAAGAGATAACTGTAAAAAGTTGGAGTGTGAGTGAAAATTTAATTAAACATTCTGAAATATAGTAATAAATAAGAATTTTGTCCAAATAACATTGAAACGGGAGACACGTCTATCCAACTATAAGTTCAAATTTATCCCATAAATAATAATCACATTTATTTATGGACCTCGGTCAATTTCCAAAAAACTCATTGCTCGGTCAATTTCCAAAAAACTCATAGCTGCAAGCTGCATTTGTAGTACCCATAATCCATTTCCTACCATTTTTACCCATTTTCTTCAAGGAAAGATCTACATTTAAGTATCAAGTACCATCAAAGATCTGAAAAAACCTATACTTTCAACATTAGTTAAGAAGTCGATTATGTGCTCAAATCATATTTTTCCATAGTTCAGGGTCTACATGCACATAAAATGTGAAAAAACGATGAATCGTGACTGCTATTAGAGTTATTGGTAAAATTCATCAACTTAATTATGAGCGAGAAAATTGAACAATTCATCACATAATTTGGGTAACGTGTTGTCACCTGCAAGAATTGGCACCAGTGATCAACTAATGGCCACTGCTTTTCCGCAAATAGCAACTGCCACATTCCAATCGCAGTATCCAATGCCAAAGACTTCTGACCCTGAAAAAAATAAATAAAAAATAGCCATATAACACTTAAGAGCATACATTTTCTAAAATAGAAAGTACAACACACAAGGGCATATGGTCCATCCACTTTGAGTCTAATATTTAATATTGACGAAATAATAAATGAAGAAGATTTTAGTCGAAACTGAAGACCGAGCAATTAAGATCTAAAAGTGATTGAATATGGTCAAATCAGTATTTCTCATTACAAGACAAAGTAAATCTTTCTAGCTATGAATAGAATACAAAAGTATTAATAAATATATTAATAACAACTACATATCTTCCGTGACAAGACAACCTATAGCTCTGATTTAACATGACCAAAATTTCAATTAAGAACTATTTGTCCAGATGAGAAAAGAAATTTACCTTCTCTTTCGCCCATCCAAATGCGTAATTATAGATCTCCCAAAACTTATCTGGAGGAAATAATTTAAATATATAAAATTAGAAGTCCAAAATGAAACTCTATTGACCAATGAGGTTTTCTGATATTAAACTTCATAATGTGTTCCTTATTTAGCATGTTTTTCTTGTACTATCTGTCAAAATACTAATGGCAAATTGTTGAGCATTCAGTGAGGAAATTCAAGAATTGAGAGGAAAACACTTTTAAGTGCTTGCATTAGAAACAGCATTCCCATTTATACCCCCCTTACTTTCATCTTTCAGTTCGGAACGCATGAAAGATATTCTTTCTCTGAACTTCTCCAGTGAATCTATCCTGCGAAATAAAAAAATAAAAATAAAAAAATAAAAAAAATAAACAGGTTTAATTTACCATCACGTAAATAAAATTGTCTCTGTGAGAGAGAATGGTATTGACTGATTCCTCACCCTAGTGATTGTAAACCACCAATAAACTCTTGCTTTGAGAATTCACACATTGTAGCAGCCTTCATATGCCATGAGACCACCAACTACAAATCATAGCATATTAATATTGAACCGCATATTAATATTGAACAAGAATTGTAAATGCGGAACATAGTAAATAATAAACTACAAACAGAATACAAACACATAAGTTTTCATGTTTGTAAGAAATATCCATCATACTCCTTATAACTTAATAACTCAACAGGGGTCTGAATTTGCAATTCAATTCGTTTCTCTAACCTTTGTTTCACAATAACATGCACCAGACGAATTTTACAATAAGGATCAGGACATAAGCTGCCAAAAGATCTCCTAAAATCTAATGCAACTATTTTTTCTGAGTCAAAAAAAATGAATCACAAATACTTTGAGAACAACACGCGTTAAACAAAGAATGCAGTTAGGACTCTTTGAGATGTAAAGACGACGAAGAATGAGTAGCAGTTTCTACATCAAGGCTGAAAAAAAATAGATTAAGACAATGGTGCATGTCTAATGTTCAGAAGCCTAGAAGCAAACTTATGCAAAACTTATGCAATATTATAAGATCAAAGGAGAATACAAAATCAGGAGGTGCTTACAAGCAACGGAACAAAACTTCAATAACTAGTAAGTACTTTGGGTGCTTTACACCACAAGTTTGATGCAGTCTCAGCAAATACAGAAATCTAGGCAACGGTATAATTGCACAGTTTCAGATATAACTTACCATAACAATGTCTTGCGGATCAACCTACCAAAACAAAACACTCCATATGTTATTAAAGCAATGATGGCCAGAAAATCAGATTAGGAAAAGACAACAGATGTATTAAAAGGTGCTCCCAAAGATCATATGCTATACAAGTAAAACAATAAATTGACAATGACTGACTGGAAGCACATTAGTGTAACAGCAAAAGCTACCTGAAGATCGCTGCATAACAGAGTGATCCCATCAGCCAAAATCATATCAGCATAGGGATCTGAAAAAATGACAGGCCACAATAAGATTTTTATTCACATTTCTAAAGCAAGAATGAGAAATGGATACATGTCTCATACAACCAAACTATCTGCAAATGAAATGTTATATCAGCTGAGATCAACTGGAACTTAAAATGTAGCATACTTTAGCCCAAATTCGAATATCCTAACACCAAAATTTACAGCCGTGCTCAACCGATGAAAGCAGGGCATTCAGCTAGTCCATGTACAATGAATGTAATTCAGGGGCAATACAAATGTATTAGGAAAGTGAAAAGGTGAGATTTATTCGTGTATAGGAAACCAAAAAAAAAAATGATGTTGAACTGTGCAGAATGAATAACGAAACAAAAACATNAAAAAAAAAAAAAAAAAAACAGTGATTGTTATATAATGGTCATAAACACAAAACTAAACTTTCCAGTTCATAGAGATAGAAAATACACGAATAGACATGTAGTTGCTGTTTTTTAACCAAAACAAATTGACGAAAGATAGCTTGAACACTGAAAATGCAGTTGAAAACAGCTATAAAAACACATTGGAGTGTTCAGCAGACAATAAAAAGCAATCAAAGAAAATTCTACCTTTGTATCTATTGTAAAGCTCCTCTAAATGTCTCGTATCAGCAACTGACTTGACATGAGGGTGGCTGTAAAATATGTCGAATGCTCCTTCAAACTGCCAATCACTGGACATCAGTGCCTGAATAGCAACCTTTTCGCTGCAAAAAAAATGGAGACACCATGCAGAATAATGTCAATCACCATCAGAGTTCAACACGGATAAGATATAACTATTAAAGGACCAAAACAGAAACCCAAGAGAAAATTCTCGTATCAGCTACACCAAAAGTCAAATAACACGTGGCAGTGTTAAAAAGTATTTCAGAATTCAATAAGCACAAATCCGATCTCATTTGACATTTAAGTAGTCATCAATGTGGTAAGTAACAAATCTTGAAAAACAGCTGAAAAACCTGCACGGAGAATATCAAAACCGATAAATACGTACCTATTGCCCGCATCGGGTTTTTCGTGTGTGTCAGTGTGTGCGTGTCGAATATTCAGATTGAAATTCATAGAATAAACGAAAGAAAGACAAGGAAGTGTGTTAAGATACCTTGCCCCTGTAATCGACACGAACTGCTGCACCTTCTCACGCTGCCCTCTACCCAACTTGTTCTGCCATGCCAGATAACATCACACACCAATCAATTCCATGCAGCCCAAATCAAAATCGAGTATTTTCAGATAATTGTTTGAAAGATAAACATAAAGAATCAAACTTCCGAGCTCGTGTGTACTAAGCAGTAAAGTTACCGATGACAGCATCTCAACGACGACAAAAGCACTGCCTATAATAACGATTACAACACTAATAACAGCAACAAGAACCATAATTCAGCTGAAACACTTCAGTCTTCGTATCCAATGAATCGCAAATCCAACCCTAATTGAGAATTTAAAAATAAAATGACGGAAAACATCATCACTTACCATATTGAGAATTGCAGATAGAACCGTAATTGGCGAGGCCCAATCCAGTTATTTTATGTAGAATTTGAGCAAAATTGCCAGAGAGGAGCTAGGGTTTTGATTATTTGCTGGATTTTCCTCTCTGGGCTACCGCCCACAGTGTTTCCTATTTTATTTCTTATTATTTTTATTTTTTTCCTTTTGTGTGAGCAGATTCTCTTTGTTTCCTTTGTTTTTTCTTTCCTTTTCTGTGGCTGCGCGGATCAACACAGCTATGGCCCGAACCTCACTAAGTGGGCCCCAGTGCCAACCCAACCCAGTCCATCAAATTATATTATATTTAAAAAAAAAAATTAAATAAATAAATATGAGTTGCAATTGTAACATTTAAATGAAACGAAACGAGACGCACATGAGCTCAACTAGACATAGCTCGTTTCTTTTGATAAAGGAGTTGAACTCGAGTTCGCTTAAGGATTGTGTAATTAGCGAGTCATGCTCGTCACGACTCGTCTTCAACTAGATAATGCTCGAGAGGGTTCAAAAAGAGATATTAAATTATTTGAGAGACTACTCTTCATGTGGTGAATGATCTCAAGGGGCACCCTTCCACAAGGATATTCTACTAAGCTAACAACCCTTTTCATTTAAAGGCCTATTGTGATGTTGAATAGGGATCATGTCAGGACATCAGAAAGTCCCTAACAGGTTATTGTGTTTTCCTTGGCACTGCTCTTGTGACTTGGAAAACTAAGAAACATGACATTGTTTCCCGTTCTTTGCCTGAGGTCGAGTATAAGGCGCTGAGTAGTACGGATTGTGAGTACAATGGTTGCCTTTTCTACAAGAGAATTTGCGTTCTCTCTTCTACTCTTATTCATCTTCTATCTGATAATCAGGCAGCTCTACACATTGTAGCTGTTGTAGTTATTTTTACCGGAATTAAATCAAAAGATTCAATCCCTGGGTCATATCGCAAGGAAGGTTAGCCGGATTATTTCGTACATATATTCAATCACAAAAAGAGAATTTAAATCCTAAACACCCTTATTCAATTGGTTTTGAATTCAACTAACTACTAACGATTCTCAAACAATGTATGATGAAATTCCAATTTCCCAACAAATTCAGTTAATGATAAAAGAGCTAGGGAGTCGGGGATAATCGTTTTCGGTTCTTAATACAATTATCGGGCAATCAACTGCTCGGCTAAAAGACTTGAAAAGCTTACTCGTCTAGAGATTTATTCTCAATAACTCTTCGTAACAAGAGAATAAACGTGAACAATCAACTGTCAAATCAAATAACACATAGGTAATACATTTACAAACAAGTCTATTCTAAACGAGCCTAAATTGACCGACTTCTCCCCTTTCGGTTCTAAAAGTCGATTAACTAGGTTAGAATAGTGATCAATCAACTAACCCTAGAATTAACACAATGACCGCGCGTCGCGACACAGCAAATTTAAATTTATAATTTTCCTCAACTAACCTCTACTAACTAGTAGTAGTGGCGAGTAAGGGTCGATCCCACGAGGAGTAAGAATTAAATTGTGACAATCTCGTATTAATTGAATTAAACTAGGAAAGCAATAAAAGATTGGGGGGGTTGGTTTTATAAAAATAAAAATAAAAATAAGAAAATAAAATAAAAATCTAATAAAATAAGAGAAGTCCAGTTTTCGGTTCAGTTATCACCCAATCTAAATCTACCGTTAATTAATTTCGACGCTTTTTCTAAATTGCTGACGAATTACCGACCCTAGCTAACAACAAGCTCTGTTAACCGAATTCTCCCTTACAGAATATTTAATCGAAATAAGCTCTTCGACTAAACCTAACTAGTGGACAACCTAGAATAAGCTCTCTAGATTTAGTGCACTAGCAGCATTAATTTCTAGGAAAATAGGTCAGTCTAAGCAATGGACGCACAAGCTCGGACCATTTAACTTATGTTCACGTTACCCTAGAGATGCACGACCCCTAGTTTACTACTAACGAAACGAGACAATAACAATTACGGATTAAATCCTCGAATCTAGCAATTAAACTATGGATATTCAACGTAGTTTGCCAGACTAAATCAAACACCATAATTTATAAACATTAAATATAGATAACATGAATCAACTCATCAACAAAAATAAATATGACGTCTCAATTAACCAACGATAAATATAAATCCTTCAATCGATAGACAAATCGAAGTTAGGGTTCAAACATCCCCTAAAACTGGATAAAAAAATACTAACCTAACATACTAATAAAAAATAAATAAAAAAATAAAAGAGAGAATAAAATTCTCCCTCGTGTGCTGGTGCGGCTTCCCTCCGCGTGTAGGCTTCTCTCCTTTTCTCTCTGTCCGTGTATGGCGTTTTTCTTTGTTCTGAGTGCTCTCGGCTTTCGTGAGTTTCTGATTTTCTTCGATGGCTCACGGCTTTTTTCTCTTAAAAAAATAATGTCCCCGCTTTTCTTTTGAAAAAAAAAAAAATGTATGCCAATGTGGAATGCTCTCCAGGAATAATAATTCTCCTCCTTGCGTGTGAATGGAGAGTCCTACTCAAAATATACATCTTGGCATTTTTATTTTCATTAGAAAATAATTCCACTTCCCTCAAATAATTCTCCATGCCTAAATTAATGCTTGCAGTGCGTGGTTTTGTCAAGTGCGTGATTTATTTTGGGCCCAAATAATTTCCACTTTATTTTGGGCTCAATTCCTTCTTCTCGGGCCGATTATCCAACACTACGGGTCTTATCCAATGAATCTCCGAATATTCTTCAAATTACTGAAAATAGATAATAAAATATCAAAGTACATGAATCCATCTAAATAATAAATAAATCGAAAAATATAAACGTGCAAATAAATTAAGTGTATAAAAATACACTATTAAATATATAATACGTGCACAATTTTCGACCTATCACACAACTCGCATAGATTGAACAATTAACGAGCACGTAATCAAAAACGAACCGAAACAATCATCCCCTATCCTTAGCGAACGGATTTAGCTACTCATCACGATTTCATCACCAAAATTCACATCACGTAATAAAATAAGAAATTACTCAAATAAGTAGTGTTCAACACATCGAGTGGTAATAAAAAATTTATGCTTGTATTTCATTCGAACAAAAAAAAGATAATTTATTATTAAAATTTTAAATAATTATTTTAAAACATATTATCATTAATACATAAAATTATATTCGTCACTTTTATGACTTATCCTCGTATGTTATAACATGTTTCATAATTCATACTATATAATTGGCTTGATAGTATTTATTTAGTTAAATGAATAAACTTTTAATTAATTTTACTAGGTTATTTAATTTTTATTATCGATAGAAATAAATGTTATTTATATATGTAATGTCAATGTCAAATCAAAGCTCCCAGAAGACAATCAATTTAATATATCATATATAAAAATTTAACATATATGTTTATAATTTAACATAATCAAGTATAATTTTAAAAACTATAATAGGCATGTATGTAAGTCCATATCTATGTTGCTTACTTGGAAGCACAATAAAATCAAAACTAGTGTATACCCCGTGCGATGCACGGGAACAATATTAAACTAACAATATTATAAATAGATCTCGAGTTTGAGTTACTCAATGACGGAAATGGAAACTACTATTGATCCTATTTAAAAAGAGGAAGAAAAAAAAATAATTATAAATTAAAGAAGAGGATAAACAATACTTAATAATTATAAATTAAAGATTCGGGGTCAAACAATGTAAAATCATTTTGTATAAGAGAATAACTATAATGATAGATATACAATTATGCATCATAATTTTTCACATACAATTACGAATAATTAGAAATTGACACAAATTCAAAATTTTTGAATTTATATATATGGAATAATTAGAAATTGACACATAAATTCAAAAAACTTTGAATTTATATATATGGAGGGGTATAATACTTTTTTAAGAAATGTAAATAAAATATGATATTTTACATACAAATATGTACTTTTGTTCATAAGCTAAGATACATGAAAATCATTAATGAAAAATGGAAAAATGGATTTGACCTGATATATATTTTTTTTACTAAATATTTATCCTGGTGTATTTAATTTAGCTTTTATAAAAAAATTTAAAAGTATTTAGGTATTCATTGGTGATTTTAAATTGTCTTACAAAATCGGTAGGTATTTAACTTATTTTAGACTGTGATTTGTTTACAGAATTAAGATTTCATATGATTCCTCCAAAATCTAAAAATCTTACGAAGTCTGAAATCTTAAAACCTTGAAATAATCGCTCGAAACTTCAAACGAATATACTCCTCCCTCCCTTAATGTTGAGGGGAGTGATAGGGCCTAAATAGGCCCCCTGAGGCGAAAGGTTTCGAACCTTCGACTGTACGGGGTTGTTAAATCGAGTAAAACAAATTATACGTTTCAAGTAGATACTTGTTCTTTTTTTTTTTTTTTTTCCTTTCTCAAAATTGATTTTCAGTGAGTGTAGAATAGAAGATTAAAGCTTGTCGATAATATGCACGTAGAACATTGGGTGTGAGATTCAAACGGTCAAGAGACCTATTCGAGATTGTACTCTTAAATGAAGATAAATCTCTTTAATTTGATAAAGAGACTTTGAGAGGTTACAAACCAATGTAATGCACCAGGTGTAGATGTTTGTTTCGATCACACGCTCACACTTGTCGGCTGGCTGGTATCAATCTAGGCCTTAGTTTTTGTCTTGGATCTTGGACCTTAACAATTAGACGTGGGCGATCTTGGACGATCTTGCTTGTGTAGAGCTTGGGCCTTAGACCTAGCTAGTTTTAGTGCAAATTTATTGCAAATTTGTGGTCTCCCTGCCCGTGTGACCTTCACTAAGTTTACTGAACCTGAAAGTATTTAGCTCCACTTGACAATTTCGGTAGTTATCAGGTGAAGTGAAGGCGTATTAATACCTAATAGCAATTAAATCGTTTTATGCCCATTTTAGTAGTCATGATTGACTTGTTACCTATCTTTAATGGTATTGACGTTTGATCATCCCTGCCTAAGCTGGAAGTAATATAAATTATCCTGAAAACGGGCGGGCCATATTTGTCTCGCATGACAATTCTAAATTTTATTTTTGTCCTTTAGTTTTTTTCTTCACAAATCTATCGAACAAAAATGAAGGTCACAAGTAGGCATATAAATGAGTCAAGCCGAGCTCAAGCTTAGGATGCTCGAGTTAGGGTGCTCGAGCTCAAGCCCTTAATGAGTCGAGCTTGTTAAATAAACGAGCCCAAAATCAAGCTCGAGCTCAGCTCGTATGACCTTGAACTCGAGCCTTAACGAGTCGATCTCGAACTTTAACGAGCCGAACTATAGAAAAGTATATAATTTTTTTTTCGAGCTTTATCGATTCGAGCTCGACTCGTTAACTAAACGAGTTTTAAATAAACTCAAGCTCGGCTTGTTAAGGCCTCAAGCTCAAGCCAAACTCAAGCCATAACGAGCCGAGCCAGGCTAACCACTAGTCATGTCACAAGCACACATGTCCCGCATATTCACTTTTACTGCATTTTATGCTGTATGCTGATAATAAAACGTTTAACTAAAGTAAATCCACAAAATTACAATAAAAACGACTTTTTTATTTGTCAAAAAGAAAATAGTGGAAACTCCTAGTTAGAGCTGTCAATTTGGCCCGTGGCCCGTGGGCCGGCACACCCCGCCCCGCAAAAGAGGCGGGTTGGGCCGAGATTTTCAGGCCCGCTCCTACGCGAGCTGGCATGCACGGGCCGCGGGCTAATGCGGGGCAGGCTAACCCGCGGGCCGGCCCAATATATATAATAAGAATTAACATTTACTAAAAATAGTAGCCAAAAATTTCGGAAACATTTAATGCATACTATTTTTAGAAACTTTTTAAATATATACATTAATTTCTTCCATATACACGTTTTCAAATAAGATCAAATAAAACATGATCAAAAAATTACTTAATTAAATTTATTATTATCTGCAATATTTTTATTAATATTTATTATAATAAATTACAAGATTGATTTTTCGTGATTCATGTTGATAATAATTTGGTCAAGATAAATATTATTTTATTAATATTTATAATACTTTCATTGATATTCATTATAATAAATTACAAGATTGATTTCCATGATCCATGTTGATAATATTTTGGTCAAGATAAATATTTCACCATATGTTAAGTTCTAACCATAATATTAATTTTTTTCACAAATATTCATTTTTTATCCAAAAATATTTATGAAAAATTGTAACAGGTCAGGTAATTTTTTTTTTTAAAGTAATAAGACAAAATCAAGTTGGTGAATTAATCTTTGCCAATAGATTTTTTTCTTAAGCTTTATTTTGTTAAATATAAAAAATAAATTGTTCTTCAAATTAATATAATTTATCATTTAAGAGATAATGACTAGATACATTAAATAGTTTTACTAATGGTAAAAAATTTGAAATATATTAAGTATTTTTTTAAGATTTATTTGTATATTATTGGCACCCATGATTATTTTTTTTTTATTTTCATATATTTCTATAATTAAATTCTTGTAAAATATATTTTCATTGCAGAGTATGTTAAAGAAACTATAAATCCTTATAATGCGAATTAGAAAAATCTTGATCATAGAAGAGATTGAGTTTTTGGCATTTCCTAATTAGTATACAAAATTAAATTCTAAAAAAACATGTGTATATTTTGTAAAATATTTATACACTATCTAATTTTAAATTTATTTACATATTTTAAATTGGTTACATAAATAAATAATACTAACGTACATTAAATATTTTTCATTACATAAAATAAAAAAAAAATAAGACGTACAACTTCTATAACTTTCTAAATAATAATGACAATATATGACAACAAAGTTTATAATAAAATAATAATTAAGTATTATATAGTGAACAAGAATAAGTAAAATGATATTCTCTCTTAAATCAAGGAATAAATATATATATTAAAATTTAATTTATATTATTATAAATGTGTTAGTGAGATAATATATTAATTATTTTACAAGTTAGTCCTAACATGCTCATATTTAATGTTTTGACTAAAAAACAACGCGTGCAAAATAGATTGTAACCTTATTGGTTATTACAATTAACGCTGATTAAAAGAGGTGAAAAATAGATGATAACTTTTATATACGTAAACGGACAAAGCCTGTGAAAATAACTCATTTAATATTTCTGTTCCGTGCATCGCATGGGTACGTACTAGTATATATATATAGGGAGTGGTTCAAATAAAAACCTTTTCTGGTGTGAGAACCGTGAGAACCATATTTGATGCTATTTTTAATTGTGTATGATGCTATTTTTAATCTTACATGGTGCTATCATTTTTACAAATGCTAAGTTGCTATTTTTAATAAAATACATCCTGATTAAAAATAGCACTAAAT